CCTTTGATGATATGGAGGTCTGCACAAGTGTCATGGCTGCTGCTGCAGTCTCTGGCAATTGTGTGGTGTTCTCTACCATCCATTAGAGACACTACATTGTCACGCATCATTCCAGCACGAGTTCACTTGAGTATGTTAACGTTCATATATGCGTTAGAAAATATACAAACTATAGCCTATATGTATTTTTCTAGGGTTCAGACTTATATGGGGTACAACTCTTACATATACCCAACTGTATTCTCTTCCCTAGTCAACAATTCTCTCGACATGGTATAGAGCTAGGTTTCGCTCCCAGCCATCACGGTTCCGCCCTAGGAGCTATCCACTCCCCTCCCACCCTAGCTTACCTTAGTCCTAGCTAGACTTTAGGCTGTTGCTCTAGCCTGCGCCCTAGCCTAGGCTCTCATTCTAGGCTGCTGCACTGCCCGCATTTTGCCGCCAGCCAGCCAGCTGCTCGCCTCTGCCTGCCGCCACCTAGCTGCTGCCAGCTCGCTCGCCGCCGCCAGCGGCTCACTCGCCACTCACCGCCAGCAGCGTGCTGGCCAGAGCCAACAGCCGCCACGAGCTAGCCAGCCACCAGCCAACTTGCTAGCCAGCCAGCCACGCCAGCCAGCTAGCCAGACAGCAGCCGTCGCGAGCTAGCCAGCCGACAACCAGCTCGCCAACCAGCCAGCCGCCGCCAGCCAGCTAGCCAGCCGCCAGCCAGCTCGCCAGCCGACCAGCCGCCACCAGCCAGCTAGCCAGCCGCCAGCCAGCCAACCGCCGCCTGCCAGCCAGCTGCCCAACCAGCCAACTAGCCAGCTAGCCAGCCAGCAAGCCATCAGCCAGGTAGCAAGCCGCCAGTCAGCGCACCAGCCAGCCAGCCGCTGCCTCCCAGCCAGCCGCTTCTGCCAGCCAGCTAGCCAGCCAGCCGCCGCCAGCCAGCTAGCCATCCATCCAGCCGCAAGCCAGCTAGCCAGCCGCCAGCCAGCTCGCCTGCCAGCCAGCTGCCGCCTGCCAGCCAACCGGCCAACCAGCCAGCTAGCCAGCCAGCCAGCCGCCAGCCAGCCAGCTAGCCAGCTGCCAGTCAGCTCGCCAGCCAGCCAGCGGCCGCCTACCAGCCAGCCAGCTAGCCAGCCAGCCAGCCACCAGCAGCTAGCCAGCCGCTAGCCAGCTCGCCAGCCAGCCATCCTCCACCTACCAGCCAGCCACTCCCGCCAGCCAGCTAGCTAGCCAGTCGTCGCCAGCCAGCTAACCTGCCAGCCAGCTAACCTGCCAGCCAGCCACTAGCCAGCTAGCTAGCCGCCAGCGAACTTGCCAGCTAGCCAGCTGTTCTCGCTAGCCAGCGAGCCACTCTCGCCAGCCAGTTAGCTAGCTGCCAGCCAGTTCGCAAGCCAGCCAGCCGCCAACCAGCTAGCTAGCCAGCCAATCAGCCGCCAACCAGTTCGTCAGCCAGCCATCCGCCGCCTGCCAGCCAGCAGCTCCTGCCAGGCAGCTAGCCAGCTTGCCGCCGCCAGCCAGCTCACTAGCCAACCAGCCAGCTCGCCAGCCAGCCAGCCCCTGCTTGCCAGCAAGCTGCTACTGCCAGCCAGTTAGCCAGCCAGTCGCCGCCAGCCAGGCCCCCAGCAAGCTAGCCACCAGCCGCCAGCCAGCTGCCAGCCAGCCGCCTGCTGCCCGCTAGTCGCCAGCCAGCCGCCAGCCAGCTAGCCGGCAGCCTGCAGCCAACTGCCGGCCAACAGCCAGCTCGCCACCAGCAGCCTTTCACTAGCCAGCCGCCAGCCGCCAACCGCTAGCCAGCCGCCAGCCGCTCCTCGCCACCTTCCCTATTGGCATGAAGACCTTGTCCAGGTCTGTCCTTCCGCTGGACGCCGAAGGCCGGGCGGTCGACTTTGCTCTCTGGCTTCTCGCCCTCAGCCGGCAGCTAGTGAGCCAGCACGTGGGCTGCGAGCTCCTGGAGGCCCACATTACCTCCACGCCCTCAAGGTACACTACATGGCTGCCTACCCCAAGGCCTCAATGGCTGCAGCAGCTGCCACAGTAGCAGCAGCAGCAGCACAAGCCGCAGCAGCAGCTGCAGCAACAGTGGCGCCGCGGTGGGATCCTAGGGGTGTTGGGCACAGTGGAAGCTCTGCAGGTTGGGCCCTGAGGCAATCGCTGCCCTGGGACCCGCATGTTTTCTGTGGAGGTCTGGGAGCCTAGGGGCTCGGAGGTCTAGGTTCCACTGCTGTGTGTAGTCTAGGAGCCTCTGCTATGTGTCGACTAGGCTCCCCCACTGCCCCTACTGTGGCGGCCCTCTCCTTTACACTAGACTCTGGTGTGTCCCACTGCTTCTTCCAAGACCGCACTGCACTCACACAACTTCATGCATCGGTACTGGTCTCCCTAACTGACTCGCCTGCCACAGTAGTCGCTCGCAGTACCACCGCTCTCACTTGTCCGGCTGTCCCGTCTGGCTCCCTCATTAGCTTGTATATTCCCACGTTTTCCAGGAACTTGGTTGGTGTCGGTTATATCGAGGACCTGAGCATCACCACCACGTTCCCTGGCCGTAGGAGGTATGCAGCCTGCACGGACACTGCCACATGCGCCCATCTTGCCACCTTTGACCGCGACCCTGCATCCGGTCTCTTCACGCTGCACACAGAGTCCCCCGCCATAGCTACATCCACACAGTTCGCCGTGTCCTGCTCTTGTCGCTCCCTCACCTACCCGGTACTCCAGTGGCACTCCGCTAGGTTACCCTGTGCTCCCGCATCTGCGTCACATGGCACATCACGGTCTAATCACTGGACTCCCCACGTCACTCCCTGCCCTCCTTGCCTCGATAGCACCCGCGTGCACCTCCTGCATTGAGGGCCGCCAGTGCGCCGCCCCTCACCCGTCCTCATTTCCTCCCACTAATGCTCCCCTACAGACTCTGCACATGGACGTCTGGGGCCCCGCCCCGGTCCTAGGGCCTCACGGTGAGCGCTACTTCCTGGTGGTTGTTGATGACTTCATGCGGTTCACCACGGTTTTCCCTTAGGAGCGGAAGGCCGACGTGCCTGACACCAATATATACATCCACGAGATTCTGAGCAACACGACTTCTTCAGCCCCCGCCAAAGTGCCGTTCTTGTTGTGGCGAGCCGGATGTCGAAAGTTGTGCACGAAAACAAGTTGGACCACCAGTTCCTCACGTGTAGCCTCTATTGGTAGCACTGCACCATGGGTGTCGTGTTTCTGTGGATCCACTAGGTGTACAAAGGGATTAAGATTTGTGTAGACATCAGCTTGTTAACAGAAGTGGTACAACTTTTTACCATTTTCAAATATTCTAACCCTCCATTTTTGTAGAAGTACCGTAGTGCTAACGAACCCTCGGCTTTTTGCAGGAGATCCTCAAACGGATGAAGGGTGATCATGCGATTAATGAGCTGAACGCCCAAATGACGCTGCCGCGCAAGGAAGCGAGAAAGATGGGATCTGAGAAGTACCATCTGGCAGAGGAGAACAGACAGCTGAAAGCGGCAATCGAGGAGAAGGATGCAATCATTATGGAGAAGGATGAAGCGTACACCATACTAAAGCAGACCTAAAATGCTCTCGAGAATTCATCTGCGTGGCGAGAGAGGCTTTTGCGGCCGCATTTGCTACTCTAGTGCCTCCACCGGAGGACCAGGCGTACTACGATGCCGTCATAGGGCCATGGCGTAACAACGAGACCATCGACGGCACATGGCAGTACTAGGACAAGCTAAACCCACTCGTTAAGGAAAGATCTCTACACGAAGAGAGTAGCTCGTAGAGAGGTTTTGTTCTTCAATTTTGGCAAGTTCATGGATTTATCGCAGAAGGGCTAGACTGTGAAGATGTCTGCAACAGAAGAGGAGGGACAAACTCAACATACGGGCAGCAAGTCTGCAGAATCCACGTCCAGAGCAAAGAGGGCGAGAACTTTGCCAACGAACACTGCCGTAGAGCGGATTCTGTAGAAATGGAGGAGGGCTTGCAGGGGGGCAAAGCTGTGGAGACGAAATCTGCCGCAGGAAAGAAAAAGGGGAAGGATGCAAATTTTGCCAAAGCAAGCACCAAGAGGATGCGGAAAATGAAGATTCTCATGGAAGTAGTAGACTTCTTCTACAAGGGAACCCACGAAAGAACTACTGTCATCAAGCAACTCGATGGGATCTTGGCATCGAGCACACTCATGGCAATGACCGATGAACTCATCCTCCATGATGAACAGGAGGCGAGCTAGACAGACCCTCAACAGAACAAGTAGTGTGTTGCGGCAAGCAATAGCAAAGAGAAGGTGGAAAAGCAAATGCATGTCACGTACCTTCTCGTCAAGGCATGTCTATTGGACAATGAATAAGTGGAGGGTTACAATCGTTTGGAGAGGCTGAATGGTTGGCTTTCTGCACATCATTGGAGGAATGTATACCGTGTAGGGGTCATCTACTGACCTGGCAGCCACTGAATTCGTCGCTTTGTAGATTGGGCTTGTTGGAGGTTCTGTAGAGGTGTATGGGAATTTGGTAGACAAATTCTATGGAAGCTTTGATGGATCGCAGTTTGTTTTAGGCTTTGTGGACCTTTCAAATAGAAATGCATGTTGTAGATTGAACAAAAAAACAAACAGAAAGAACTAACTGCACTTTCATATGGGAAAAGAAAATGACGAATGTACAAAGGACACCCGCAGATGCAAAAACTTTTAGGAGGTGTTAAGACATATGGTACAAGTTGCTGCACTTAGAACAAAAAGCCATTTGGACGAGCCACCTAGTCATGCTAGGCAGCAGCTGCATATATGGTTCCTTGATTTGCTTCCTCTTCTTGCGCTCATCCTTCAAGATGATAAGCAGAGTGTGGCCTTTCTTTTCCAATGCTACAGAAACGAAGGCGGGCAAGCACCATGACGTGGCCGCCTTGACGTTGACTTCGGTGATGCTAGGTAGCACCCTCTCCATTTCCTCCAGATTTTTCAGTTGGCGATTCTCCGGAATCAAGCCTTTCTTCACCAGAGGCTAGGCCTATGCAAAAACTTCCTCCAGTTAAAATTTTAGGCCCATTTGGTTCATGAAATTGGAATTTGGAGGTTCTCTCTCTCTCTCTCTCTCTCTCTCTCTCTCTCTCTCTCTCTCTCTCTCTCTCTCTCTCTCTCTCTCTCTCTCTCTCTCTCTCTCTCTCTTCCTGTTTTTTTTTTTTTTTTTTTTTGTGGTAGCTAGTGTCTCAAACTCTGCCCTAGTATTACCCCCCCCCTTATCCTCTCCATTCACATTTCAGGGCGCCACATTCCAAGTTCCACAATTCAAGTCGGCTTGTTCTGAGTCCCTTTATTCCACATCCTTTTGGTCTGGTCAGCTACGACCCATGGATAATCAAACTTAGATCTTGCTTCGCTGTGCGTGATCTTGGTTACTTAATGCATTCGCATGTGTTTGTCCATTAATTTCTGCTTATTGTGTACGTATGAGCATGTGTACCTCACATACCGGTGTGGTGTTTGCACATGTTGCATTATAGTGAGTTTGATATCTAATATGCAAAGCGCATGACGTCGTTGCAATTGTCGTTGCTGGTTTGGGAACTTGCTTCCCATAACGTGCATGTCAATCTCTATTATAGCACGTTTGCATTGCCGCATTGATTTCATTGTATCCACTTTTACCATCACATGATGTGTTTACAATATCATATGCATGTGTTGTGCATGCATTCATCGGTGATAATATGCGTTGTGCCAAATACAGCTTGCGATTGTCATTGCCGGTTCGGGGACTTGTTATAACGTGCATGCCAATCTCTATTTTAGCACAAACGCATTGCCACATTCGATTCCGTGCATTCTCAATTGTCATGTGTTACTATGAATTACTATGAATATATTGCATGTGTGGACTAAATTGAGTATTATCTATGGCCTAGATTTTAACTGGACGGCACGACAATAATGCGACGTCTTATCATTCTTCCACTGTACATCATCGACAAGGAGTGGTATGGGGTTCTCACATTATTCTCAAACCGATATTTGTTCCACACCACGAAAATTCTCATTGCTCCTATTATTCTATTATCCTATGATCGGTAATGAATACTAGGAGACTTTAACAACATTCTCAAACCAATTTAGATATGGCAACATAGTTTATGGATGGAGTTGTGACTTTTGCAAATATATATGCTGCTTTACCATTACATCGTTGCCGGCAACGAGGTAATAATGGAAATGGCAAGATATATATGTTTGTTTTCAATCATACAAAATAATTGGTGTAGCTTGGTGATAAGACCATCAGCTAGAACCACAGCTCAATCATGGAGTGCACAAAATACCAACAATAATATCAAGAAAAAAAAAAGTAAAAAAACAAGTAGGAGATTTAAGAATACAAATATTGTTTTTAGCTGTAAGGCATTAGGGAAAGAGGCTTTAGGGACCATAAAGAACATGGGGTAAGCACTGCATTATCCTCGAAAGATTTTTTTGCACACGTTATTAGGTTGATTAGGAGAAAAACATAGTGCACAATCGGTGCATCGAAAGTTATTCCTTCTCACGCATTTCATTTCATGTCTTCACAATTTTTACTTTGACTACTGAGGGTATGCTATGGTTTTTTTCCAAGGTTGGGATGGGTCAGAGTATTGTGAGATTGATGAATAGATGTAGGTAGCCTAAGTGTGTATCCCTACGGCCTCTTTTCAGGCCAGCCTTTTTCCTCATACTAGGCCTGGGAAAAGGTGCACAAACAGCGTAGTGTGCGAAATATCAATTGCAAAATGATGCATGCAAATTGTTATGATCATGAACTCACTTTTATACATTCCAGAAATCACGAAGATCGAATAACTATCCACACAACACCTTACATCCCCTATTAGGTATGCGCCACTTTTGTAAGAGAAGGGCAATGGCCGCAGCACCATTGACTAAGCAGTCCTATCGTCAGTCGAAGTCCAAGAATCGCCTGTTTAGGTGAAGTGTCGCGACAAAACCAAGCAAATTATACCGGCTTTTTCAAGTACTGTTTGTTACCCAGTTGCATATGATTATCGGGTCATAGATTGCCCCCAAAAGGAATGTACCCCATTAGAGTACATAGCTAGCTAAGAATGTACCACGTTGTACTCTACAATTATCTTGTTATTCTAAATTCACTCTAACAAGGTCACCAACCAAAAACATAGCTTCCGCTGTTTAGTCTCATTCAACTGTTCAATCTTGAAGATCCTACCTATCCCTTGTCATCACATCATAGCATGAGAGCTACTCCGGATTCTACACGCTGCCATCTCCACCTCTCATTGATTCAAATCAACATCGTGGCAACTGGCATACGCTCCCGCCAAAAGTAAAGAAAATCTGACCAATTTCAAAAGGCTGCTACGCAACCCAAAAAAAAGGACAATTTGATAAACGGCGATAGCACAGAGAGTGTGGCTCCAGCATGCATGGGACTAGCACGCAGGGGGCCGGCATGCACAGGGTCAGAACGAACGGCGGGCACGGCGCCAGCGCACAACCCCCAGCGCGCACGCCGCGGCCGCGACCGGCACCAGCTCACATGCCTCCAGCGCCAGTGCGCACGTTGCCCTCGAGTCGAGGCTCCTGACACAGGAGGATCATGGCCCTGTTGTCAGCGTACAGGACCGGGGCAGAGCTAGGCCACTCACCTAAGTCAGTGAGCAAGAAGGTCAGCCAGCGGAGCTCCTGTGCCGCCATGGCACCGGCGTAGATCTCGGCCTCACAGCTGGACTGGGCAACAGACGAGGAGCGGGTAGCTCTCCACGAGACGGCACCTGAACCAAGGCTGAAGCAAAAGCCCTGCGAGGACCTGAGGGTCTCGGCGTCGTCTGCCCAAGAAGCATCTGTGTGTCCAGTAAGGATCACTGGCCTGCGTCCTCCTAGCACTAACCCCATGCCTGATGTACTTGCAAGATAACGCAAAACCCTCTTAGCGGCAGACCAGTGCTGAGGTTGGTGTCTGCCTGTAGCCACAAAGAGAGCCAGGATGCTGAGAGGGTATGCGAGATCTGGGCAAGTGCAAGTCATCAGGTACATGAGGCAACCCACCAGCTCTGCGTAAGGACCACTAGGCTCTGCCGACTCCTCAGGAACTGGAGCGGAGAGCCTGTGGTCTAGAGGCAGAGGAGTGGGCTGTGCGGAGGAGAACTGAAGGACCTGGCGCACCAAGTGTGACTGAGTCAAAGTGATGGTGCGCGCTGCTCTGTCCCTGGAGGTCTACAAGCCAAGGTAGTGGCGCAGTTCTCCAAGGTCAGTGTAGGTGTGTCTCTTCAGCAGCTCTACCTTCACAGAGGCCACGGCGTCCCTGTCTGCCGTGACGAAGACCACGTCGTCTACGTAAACAAGGATGTACAACGGGGTCTGGCCAGCACGAACGAAGAGCGAGGGGTCTGCAGAGGACGGGAAGAACTGCAGGTCAGCAAGCGTAGCACGCAGCGTGTCGTGCCACTCACGGGGAGCCTGCCGCAGGCCGTAGACGGGGCGCTGCAAGAGCCACTGGGTCCTAGGAGGGAAGGTACCACTGAAATCCTGAGGGCGGCGCAGGTGGACCTGCTCCTGTAGACTGCCCTGAAGAAACGCAGTGGAGAAGTCGAGGGAGTGAAGCTCGTAGTCACGCTGAGCTGCTACGTGTAGCAACACCCGAAGAGTAGTCACCTTCAGGGTCGGAGCGAAGGTCTGGAAGAAGTCCACCCCCTCATGCTGACTGAAACCTCTAGCCCCGTAGCGCGCCTTGAACACAGGTGGCTCTCCAGGAGGGCGCTTCACCTTAAAGAGCCAGCGGCCATCGACTACGTTCACCCAAGGTGGGGGAACTGCGTCAACGTAGGTGCCGGTGGATCTCCAAGATGCCATCTCCTGCTCCATGGCAGCTATCCACTGAGAGGCCCAGGGTCCCGAAACCGCCTCAGCGTAAGTGCGAGGGGTCGGGATGTCGAAAGTGTCGGGGTCACCCTTAGGGACTAGAAGCATAGGGCCGAGATGGGGAGCAGCCTCGGACAGGAAAGCAAGCTCCTACTGGCGGTCCTCCAGGCTGTCACTGCCGGGGGCAGGAGCACCCCCGACAGGCAGAGGACAGGCAGGGTCAGTAACCAGAGCGGTGGCATAGTCAAGGCGGCGGGTAGAGGCGAAGTCAGCGACCACAGCTACAAGGGCGTCAAGACTCGAAACCGGAATAGACGCGTCGGTAACGAGAGAGGCAAGGACCCGAGGAACAAGAGGACGAGCGGCACGCAGGAAGTCAGACAGAGGGGGGGAGCAACGACAAGGGAGGACGGAGGGGGCGACGAGAGAAGGGGAGGACGAGACGCGTGGGAACGTAGCAACATAGGGTGAGAGCGCGAGACAGGGGAGACAGGTCGAGCACGGGAGGGACGGCGAGACCAGATGTGAGACGGAGGAGTCGGGTCAGGAGATAGAGGAGGGGAGAGAAGAGGGGAACGAGGGGGGAAATGAGCCGAAGACAAGTCCGGAAGAGGGGGAGGAGGAGGGGCGGCGACGACCTGGGAAGGGGTGACCAGGAACAGGGGGGGGGTAACCGGGGGACCTCGGTAGGGGAAGCGGCGGAAGAAGGAGATCGACTCGTCAAAGGTGACGTCGCGGGAATGAAAGAAACGGTGAGACGGCGGGTGGTAGAAGTGCCTGTCAGACGCGTCAAGGGGGAAGTCAAGGAAGACACAGGGTAGAGTGCGGGCAGTGAGCTTGTCCGTGCCAGAGGCACGAACATGAGCAACGCAGGCCCAGACGCGAAACGGAGACGCGTCACCAGGGGACCCAAACCAAAGAAGGGTCGGCGAAACCTGAGGCTGCTGGGGGTGCGGCCACAGGTTACGTTGGTGAGCGGCATAGCGAACGGCGAACGGCCATAAAAAATGGGATGCACCAGCATGGATCATGGAGGTGCAAGCCACTTCCATGACCAAACCGATGCGTCACTCAGCGACCCCATTCTGCTGCGGGGAGTCCAGCAAGGTGAACGTCTGGGTGATGCCCTCCGCATGACAGAAACGACCAAGGACACCAGAGGCAAACTCGCCACCACGGTCGGAGTGGAGACGCAAGACACGGAGACCGCGGTGGACACGCGCAGAGACAAGCCACGGGATGAGAACGTCAGGCACGTCGGCCTTCCGCTCCAGGGGAAACACCGTGGTGTAGCGCGTGTAGTCGTCGACAAGCACTAGGAAGTAGCTCTCTTGACGCGGCCCATGGATAGGGCGGGGCCCCAGACGTCCATGTGCAGAGTCTGTAGCGGTGCTGCAGTAGGGGGAAACGAGGAGGAGTGAGGGGCACGGCGGAGCCGGTCCTCGACACAGGGCGTGCAAGGTGGGGTTGGGGAGGAGGGAAACTCGGGGAACGACCAGGGGATGCCTAGGACGAGACCGTGTTGTGACATGTGACGCAGACGCGGGAGCGCAGGGTGACCTAGACGGTGATGCCAGAGAAGAGTCGGGTGGGTGAGAGACCGACAGGAGTAGGCAGCAGCAACCGAGGGAGACGCAGCCACCTGAGGGGGGGTCCGAGCCGGGGGGGTCACCGTGTCCAGTGTGAAAAGACCGGACACCGGGTCCCAGGGGAACATGGACAGGGGGGCACTTATGCCGGCCTCGGTACAGACAGCGTACCGCTCGTGTCCAGGGAACGTAGTGGTGATGCCAAGATCCTGAAGGCAGCCGACACCAACTAGGTTCCTGGAGAACGAGGGGATGTGCAGTCCTGTGAGCAAGCCCGAAGGAACCGCCAGGCAGGGGAGGGTGGTGGAACTGCGGGCGACTACGGGGCCGGAGGAGGGGTCAGCAAGAGAGACTGCGGCAGGGACAGGAAGCGGTGTCAACGTGGTGGAGTCGCGGAAGAAGCACCGGGAAGCGCCAGAGTCGAGGGTGAAGGAGAGCGCGGCAGTGGCGGCCGGAGGCGAAGCAGCGATGAAAGCACCAAGGCTAAACAAAGCAGAGGATCCTATGCCTGACGCAGCAGGGGAGGCTAAGCAAGGCACACCTACACTAGGCAACAAGGGGTAATAAGACGGAAGCACACTAGAGTCATCAGCATACATCACATGTAGAGCAGTAACAATCTCATCCATATCCAGATAAAAAATCTGAACCCTACGACGAAGCAAGCTGTGCCAGTCTGGGAGCTCGGGCGACAGGCCGAAGCGCTGACGAAACAGGTCGTCCAGGGGACGGAAACAGCGGATGGAGGTGTAACCGATCTTACCGCAAACGAAGCCACGGCGAGGACCGGTCTGGAGCAGGTACTGACAGCACGTGTCACCCGAAGCACCACCCGGCAGCCCACCACGCGCACCACCACCACGTCCAGCGCTACCACCAGCGCCAGGCCACCTGGGCGGGAGACCACTCGCTCGTCTCTGCTGCTGCTGCGGCTGCTGCGACTGATGCGAGTCCGCCTGCAACATCGGCGGCTGCTGACACGGCTGCTCGGCTGCACCTGTCAGGGTCCCCTCGTTCACACCACCACCAGGAGACCCAGCTCCAGCACCACCTACACCTGCACGCCCACCCCCGCCGCTTCGCCTAGCCTTGGGGCGGCGACCCTTCCCCGGACGGACCTGTGCTGCAGCGGCAGTCTCAGCCACAGCAGCAGAACCATCGGAGAAGGTGCACTGAGCGGGGGCGCATCCCTAAAAGATAGGGACCGGCGCAGTACCGCTGGTCTGAGCGATAGAGCGGTTGCAGGCCTCTATAGCGGACAGGGTGTCAACAAAGTCAGTGAGGGTGAGGTCTGCGGGGTGGACACTAAGGAAGTGGTCACGGGCAGTTGCAAGATGGTCAGAGAGGCGGGTGGCTAGTAGGTAGAGAGTAGAGGTGAGGGGCGGCTGGTGGGCTAGAAGCTGAGTGGCAGTGCAGGCAGCACGCCAGGTCTCATCTACAGTGCGCAGGTGAGCGGCCAGGTCAGCGACAGTGGGGAACAACGCAAGGTCAGGGAAGAGCATGGGGAGGATCAGACGACCTACCGAGGCAGCAGGCGGGGTGGAATAGCGCTGGACAACAGCATCTAGGAAGGCCTGGGCAGTAGTGACAGACCTGAAGCGAGGTCGCTCGGACAGGGGGAGGGCATTGCTAATGGCAAGCTGTGCGACAGCGTCATGGGACAGCCAGACAGAGCGAGCAAGGGCAGCGGCCGTAGCGGACTCACGCTCAGTGGACGAGGGGTCAGTAGACAGTGCAGCGGGGGGGTCAGGGCAGGGGAGGGTACCATCAAGATGGACAGACAGCGAGTGGCCATCCTGCCGCTGACCAGTGAGGTGGCGACGGAGGTCAGCAAGCCACGCATCAAACTCAATCGGCTGGCCCTTAGCGTCAAAGCGAAGCACCTCCCCCATCAGTGACAATAGAGGGCAGTGTAGAGCGGTGCAGGACAGTGCAGTGCGGCGGAGTGCGGTGCAGTGCAGGACAGTGCGGTGCAATGCGGTACAGAGTGGTGTAGTGCGGTGCAATGCATGCAGTGTGGTGCAGTGCAGTACAGTGCGGTGCAGTGCGGTGCAAAGCGGTGCAGTGTGGTACAAAGCTCTGCAGTACGGTACCGGGGGGTTCGCAGGGCGGTGTTGATCGGGAAGAATGGGCCGAACCCAATGGCGGCGGCGGGCTGGCGACGACGCAAATGCAGGGGCGGGCCGACGGGCGACGGATGCGAGGGGCCAGCAAACGGCGACAATGGGGGCCGGGCTAGGAGCTGGCGTGACGGCGAGGAGAGCCGGCCGCGACAGCGGCCAGGGACAGCCGCGACGGCGGCTAGGGGCGGCCGCGACGGCAGGAGCGACGGCGGCGGCTGGAGACAGCAGCGACGGCAGCTAGGGGTGGCTGGAGACGGCAGCGACGGAGGCTAGGGGCGGCCGAGACGGCGAGGGGTGGCCGTGAGCCTGCTGGAATCGGCCGCGACGGCAGCTAGGGGCGGCCGCAACGGCTAGAAGCAGGCGCGACGGCGGCTAGTGGCGGGCGCGACGGCTAGGGGCGGCCGTGGGATGGCGGGAAACGGCCGCGACGGCGACTAGAGGCAGGCGCGACGGCTGCTAGGGGCGGCCGCGATGGTGAGGGAGGCGGCTAGGGGCGGGCGCAAACGACCAGGGGGCCGGCTAGACACGGGGGCGAAACGGCCAGGACGCCGGCTAGGAGGGGCTCAACGGCCAGGGGGCCGGCTAGAAGCGGGTGCGACGGCCAGGGGGGCAGCTAGGGACGGGCGCGACGGCCAGGGGGCCGGCTAGGGATGGGCGCGACGGCCAGGGGGCTGGCTAGGGACGTCCGCGACGGTCAGGGGGCCGGCTAGGGTCGGGCGCGACGGCCAGGGGGGCGGCTAGGGACGGGCGCGAATGGCCAGGGGTGCGGCTACGGACGGGCGCGACGGCCAAGGGGCTGGCTAGGGTCGGGCGCGACGGCCAGGGGGCTGCCTAGGGTCGGGCGCGACGGCCAGGGGGCCATCTAGGGGCGGGCGCGTACGGCCAGGGGGGCGGCTAGGGACGGGCGCAACGGCCAGGGGGCCGGCTAGGGTCGGGCGCGACGGCCAGGGGGGCGGCTAGGGACAGGCGCGAACGGCAAGGGGGCCAGCTAGGGGCAGCGCGTACGGCCAGGGGGCCGGCTAGGGACGGGCGCAGTGGCCAGGGGGCCGGCTAGGAGCGGGGCAAGATGGCGGCTAGGGCCTAGGGTCGGAAGCGTGGGTGTGCTAGGGGGGGGACCTAACCTACTATGATACCATATCAGAATGAAATAATGACTAGAATGGGGAGATACAAGGCAATATAGATTGGTGAGTTGTACTCACTAAGGCACAAACACATATAGTCTACAGTAACTGCATAAGTTATGTTTGACACCTATAAAGCGCAGTTCAAGGGGTGCGACACAGAAAATTTCGAGACCCATTTTGACTGCCCAAACTAGTGTGTCCCTTCCCTTGAATCCTCGAAACTAAATGTTCGCTAGTTGAATTTTGGGTCGCGTTCGCCTTCCCGCCAAGAAAATCGTGCCATGCCTCTGTACGCGATGTCGAGGGGGGAAACAAAATACAGCAGAGTATGACAGTGCACTTTGTTTAGGAAAAACAATATCACATACGCATGTTCCACAACACCCAGGCGTTATACAAAATAAGCCTCTAATTACACCCTCCTCAAAATTTAGAGGCATTTTGGTTACCACCCTAGGGTGCTTTATACGGGGGAATATGGTCATTCCTAAAGCAAATGATGTGACTGGGAAGTAAATTAAAAAACGCTTCTTATGAGGTCAGGTACTCTCGCACCTTGGTTTGCCTTGTAATAACACTTTAGGACTAGGGATTCAGGTATTCAAGACTTGCTCCACCGGTTCACCTCAGAGGGTCCTTGGGTGACTGGGTAAAACCAACCCCTATCCAAGGGTCCATGTTTCTAAAGTGCAAGCCAAGGATAGCCTTCGTCAAAATTCACTAGAGTCGTTCTTCCAGCACAAGTGCAGTGGGTTGATGATGACCTGGCGTGTGTGAAGCTATCCCCTCATGTCAATACGATAATAGGGAAATTAATTCACACATGTACAGTGATGTACTACAAGTGAAACACACAAGCAGATTTAATCTAACAGCCCACCAAATGTGAAAGCAAGCGCCCACCAATTACTAGCTGGATCCACACTCCAAAGGCTTCAGATGTTGTGACACAAAATCCTTGCCACAACAAACCACACTCTCTCACGATTGCACCTGCGGAATCAATGCGTTTTACCTGCCCACAACACCTGCAGTTGCACAACGTTCACTCCAAGATATCACCTGCGAGTGCCCATGCATTGCACCTGCGACATTTATCTGGAACCGGAATCTGTGAGGTTGTGGGTGTGGCCTCTACTTGACCCCTCGTCATTCACCTTGAGCTCACACGTATTCACCTGAACATGCACACCCCATTTGTTTCCCCCACGATCTCATCCTCTTCACAAGCTCACCCATGTCAATAGAAGGCTTAAGGTGTACCGGATAAATGCCTAAAGGAAAAAACGTGCACTTGTAAGACTCCCAAATAACTCCAAAAGAAAAAAAAACAAAAAAAAACAAGAAAAAAAAAAACTCACATGTGAGTCTCATGTGACTCCCGTGTGACTCGCCTGGGACTTCCATGGGACTCCCATGGGACTTGCATGGGACTCTCGTGGGACTCCCTTGGGACTTCCATGGGACTCTCATGGGACTCCCGTGGAACTTCTATGGGACTCCCATGGGACTCCTTGTTAGAATTAAGGACGGAGTCTAGGTGAACTTACGAGCTAGAATTACTGAAAATATAAATCCGAAATTCTGGACAGAAAAGTCGTCTCCACAAGAAACGTCATCGACAAACAACTAGCCGTTGGAATATCGTGAAACTTGGTTAAGTTGTAGCTCTCAATCTGAGCTACCATTCCCAATTTAAATTACGCTGATTGATGAAGTATTCGCGACGCTATGGTTTTCGACGCCCAGGGGGGTATGCTGTAGGAGAAGAACTTAACTCAATCTCAAAAGTTCAATCAAAGGTTCAAGAATCTCACAAGGAATTAGAGGAGCAAGAGAAAGGTTGGGATAGGAAGAGAGGGATGAGAGGGAAGGTCCCAAGAGAGTCCCCAACCAAGGAAACCCCATAAGCACAAAGTTCCCTCCCTATAGGAACCTCAACTTTGACCTTTGTCCCTTCCCAACCAATCCATCCAAGTTGGCCACCCTTGCCAACCTAGCTTGGTTGTTCCCAACCAATCTGCAGCTGCTACAGTAGAGTGACGAATTTTCCCAACCCCAAAGGTCCCAAATCCATATTAAGTCACCCCACAACTTCACTTTGTAACCGCCGCAATTGTAACGCAAGCTCATGAACTTTGAATCTTCATAGCTTTCGCGTTCTTGCTCCGATTGAAGGGATTCTCGTTGCGTCGGAAAGATCTTCTCAAGATCTATCATCACAAAATACCTGCTCAAACAAAATAACACAAAAAACATTCCCAAACTCCAAAACACACCACACACAAATGCTTGCACACGTTCAAACCACACATGCAAGTTGAAAACATGGGATGGGAGGCACACAGAATGTGATAGCATATGATGACATCACACAACAATCTCCCCCTCTGGCTGCCAACCATCATCCATCATGCCACATCTCACGCATGCATACTCAATGCACACTCATCCCAGCAAGCTTCATGCCCTTCCAATTTTCCGCCTCCGCCAGACGCGTAGTGAAAATATCTGCTGCCTGCTGATGGGTCTTCACTATCTCCAGCCGCACCTCCTTAGCAAGGAGTCTCCTCACCCAATGCCACTTTGGCCTTATGTGTTTTGTCAGCCCATGCACACAAAGCATTCTTGGCCAGCTTCACAGCAGACTCATTGTCACAGAACACAACTGTCGGCTCCTCCTGACCAACTCCCAACTCCTCCAAGAAGCGCCTTAGCCACACCACTTCCTTGGCCCCATGGTGTAAGGCCATGTACTCAGTCTCACATGAGGACAATCCCACTTCATTCTGCTTCTTGCTGCGCCAGCTCATAGCACCACCTCCCAGCAAGCACACATAACCCCCAATGCTGGTGCCATCCGCTTTCACTGAATTGAAGCTAGCGTCAGTATAGCAACTCAAGAGCATCTCTCCACTCTTCACATCTGCAGCACCTCTCTGCAACCGCTGCCTCACTCCACTATACTCCAATCCCACTGATGCCGTAGCACTTACATAGCGGACCAACCTCTTGGCCGCTTCCAGCTGCTCATGACTAGGGCGTGAAACCACGCTAGCCAGCCGTGATGTAGCAAATGCAATATCAGGCCGTGTATGATTTACAGTATAGTTCAGCGACCCAACCATCGAATGAAACAGCTTCCTGTCACTCTCATCCACTACCTCCTCATTAGCACATGGCTTCACAGTAAACCCCGAAGGTAATGGTGTTGCTGGCTTTCCCCCCATCTTGCAGCCCATACTTCTCAGCCAGCCCCTCACAGTACTTCCTCTGGTGCAACCTCAGCACACCCTTCTCCACATCTCTCTCCACATGCATTCCGAGGTAGTACTTCACCTCACCCATCTTGGAGCACTTGAACTGCATCTCCAGCATCTGCTTTGCGCTGTCCAGCAAAGCAGTTGATGCAGAGAAGAGAAGGATATCATCCACATACACCAAGAGCATGAGGATTTCATCCTTCTCCTGCAGCAGGAACAGGCTGGGGTCACACTCACTCTTCTTGAAACCCCCAGCCAGCAGCGCCTCCTCCTGTTAGAAATAGACTGCAAATACCACTTTTGTATTTGTACTTTTATATCCTAGTTTAGGTTATGAATGTTCTAGTGGGTTGGGGTGTACTCACAAATCCCAACCTCACCCAATTGTGATCCCCCCAATCTCAAATTACCCAATTGGAGATTCCGGAGATCCCAATGGGGATCCCCTCCAATTCCCCCTTCATCCATTCACTCTCACCTTGCCATGTACTTATAGAGCCTCGGGCTCCTTACCTAATCAATCATTTCAACTCTATTTCTTACATGGTATCAGAGCGACCTATCCGCACACGCGGATCAAGGTCCTAATCTCAACGTGCCCGCGCTACGAGCACTTCATCGTCGCGACATTCGTTTCGAGTCGTTGGAATTTCGACGTACTCCACTCTGCAATCGCGCCTCTCATCGTCGACCGCCTTCGCGCTCGACCTCGTTGAATTTCTCATCTCTGAAGCTTTCACGCTTCTCATCGTCGATTTCCTCCTCGGTTCTCCTTAGTCGAATCTCAATTTCGACCATCTCTTAAAACTCGTTCTCGAGTTTCCCCTCAGACCCCGCCAGAATAGGCGAACTCCCCTCGCGAAATCGCCTCCACGAACGTCTCGCGTCAAATCAAGAGCAGGTACACAGGTTGAAGCGGAGCGGAGCTGGTTGCGGAGCTGGTTGCGGAGCTGGTTGCGGAGCTGGTTGCCGAGCTGTGTAGCTGCGGGACAGGGCCTGGGGGTGTGTGGGGGGGTGTGTGGGTCCGGGGTTAGACATAGGCTCAGATTCAGTTTCAAGTCGGCGTTTAAACGAATTTTCGCCGACGCCATTTCCTACTTAGCGGCATTTTGATACAGCCGTCAGAGTGATTTTCAGCAATTCTCGTCGACCAATTTCCAGAAGTGCCGCGCTGCACACCGACAATGGCTTACTCAACCACTTCACTCGCCAACCCGATCCCGCTCCTTCGTCTCGAGCCGGACGGCACATGCTCCAACTACAAGGCTTGGCGCTATGGTGTCGACAAGCACCTCCTCAGTCGCGAGGTGAAGGGGCTCGAGCTCACCGACGTCCTTCTCAACATCGGTGACGGCAAAGAGCCTCCTAAACCCGAGAGGTCCGCCGACCCAGCTAATGCCGCCGCCGAAGCAGTTTATGCTGCTGCACTGCTCAAGTACAAGAATTGGGAGAAGGCCGATGGTGTGGTCATTAGTGTCTTCATGGGCACCACTCCTCCCAAACTCGTCGAAACCTACCACAACTACCCGTCTGCCAACGCCATTTGGCTCTACCTCGAAGATCGCTTCCTGAACAAGACTGCAGTGGGAGTTGCTATACTCATCCCCAGCATGTTCCAAGTGCGGCTCGAGGACTCGCCAGGCATGGCGGACTATGTCACCAAGGTGCAGTCCATTCATGGTGAACTCAAACAGTTGGGGATAGTCTTCCCCGAGCAAGCCCCTGCAGCCGCTCTCCTAGTCGGCCTCACTCCGGCATACGAAGTCACACGCAAGATGCTCTTGGGCCTTGCTCCTGCAGACCTCACATTTGCCAAGGTCTCATCCGCGCTCCTTTCTACCGAAAAGGACAACAGCGCTCAAGCCAAGGCCAATGCAATCCGCGCTCCCGTGCCTCAAGCCTATGCCGCTTCGGTGCCATTCCAGCGCAACCGCTTCCCCCCGTGTTCCTACGTCATCAAGCGCGGCCCTCGTGCTGGCCAGGTGTGTGGCGGCACCAACCACGGCCTTGCCTCCTGCTTTAAGAAAAAGGATGACGAGTGGTATGCCGTCAATGGGACCGCCTCCAAGCCGCCAAGCTGGATGGTCAATCGTGCTCCTCGCCAAGTCAATCAAGTCGAAGCGCAGGAATCCGTGCAGGCTGCTGTGGCTGCACCTACTCATGTGCGCCTCAACATGTTGTTCCCTGGCACTGCCATGATTAATGAGACGATTTCGCAGTATCCTAGCTCACAAAGCACCTCAGCCACAATAGAGTTCACCCTCGACAGTGGGGCCACTCACACGGTTCTCAAGGAAGAACACTCCTTCAAGCCATACGAGACACCAATCCGTCTACTTGGAGCAGACTCCAGTTTCACAACACACGCCAAGGGCTCCTCCACAGTTCCGTGCCCAGCTTTTCCTTCGGGCAGTGTGACTGGCATGTGTGTTCCCACACTACGCCACAATCTCGTGGCCCAACACGAGCTCCAACGGGCAGGCGTCACCACGATCTTCCCAGCACACTCGGATCACTGTGACCTCTTCGACCTTAAGTCCAACAAGCTCCTAGCACGCTTCACACTCAACAGTAGCAAGCTCTACACGCTGCGTTCACCTGCACCTCTCGCCGCCCTCTCCCAAGCGCAAGCTGCCAGCACCACTCCGTGTTCGTGTCGCAGCTTCGCCAACCCAACCATCCTCTACCACCATCGCTTGGGTCACCCCAACTTCCGTACACTTGCCGACATCGCTTCCAACTTCTTCTTGGCCTCCCGTCGGCGCTTCCTCCACCAACAGACTCGCCTGCACCCACCTGCCTGGACTGCACCAAGAGCAAGCTCAGGCAGCAGCCGCACCCTTCCTCCCCATCCGTCGCAGCTGCTCCGCTGGACCTAGTGCACATGGATGTCTGGGGCCCAGCTCCAGTCGCATCCCGAGGCGGTCATCGGTACTTTCTTACACTAGTCGATGACCACTCGCGGTATGTTTCTGTGCACCTCCTGCATACCAAGGCGGAGGCACCTGATGTCATTATGGCGTGGGTGCGCCAGGCTCAAGTCACATTCGGCACTCCTCTGAAGTGCCTCCATTCTGATGGCGGGGGAGAATTTCGCAATGGCAAACTCGATAACTTCTGTGCGGCCCAAGGGATTCGGCAAACCTTCACGCTCCCCGAAAGCCTGCAGCAGAACGGCATTGCAGAGAGCCGCAACCACACCTTGGTTCAGATCGCTCGCTGCCTCCTCAGTCACGCCAACGCACCACGGTCACTCTGGGGATATGCCCTCTTCCATGCGGCACTCCTCTACAATCTTTATCCGCATCCCCACCGGCCCGACACCACACCTACCACTCTCTGGCTTGGGGTCACGCCTTCCGCCCGCTCTCTACGCGTCTGGGGGTGTACCGCGTATGTGTTGCTGAGCCCCCACAAGCGCAGGAAGCAAGGTGGCAAGCTTGGTCCCAAAACCCAGACCTGCATGTACCTGGGGCACAACTCCGACTCCCCAGACTACTTATTCCTCAACCCCATCACCAGACAGCTGATTCGCAGCCGTGATGTCGTCTTCGATGAGACACGCCCATTCCACTCTGCGACCACAGGCGAGCCTCCTCCACCTCCCCCGACGCTTGTTTGGGCAGACTTTGATGCCCCACCTCCGGCCGCTGCCCCTTCTCCAGGGCCTTCTCCGTCCGGCGTGTCTCACCCTGCCTCCCCAGTATCCTCCGCAGCGGCACCTCCTCCTGCTCCGCCTTCCCCGCGCGTCGAGCCCGGCTCACCAGTCTCCTATCGGAGGCGCCCAGTCCCTCCGGTCCCACCGCAGCCGCCTTCGTCTCCGGTCTCTAGTCGCACTCGTTCCAAGGGACCGGCTCCGCCTCTCGCCTGGGGACCAGCCGCCTTCTCCATCCGGTGTTCGGTCACCCCGCCTCCTCCTGCCGGGGGTGATGTCCCCTCCATCCGTATTCCCCCCCGTGCACTTCTGGAGGACAGGCATGAGGAGCTGTTTGACCTTCACGCGGTCTGCCAATTTCTCTCTCACATCTTCCCAGACATTACTGACTGCCCTTCCCTCAACTTCACCGAGAACCCGACCATTCCGACTCCTCGCACAAAAGAGGAAGCTCTCAGGGGGCCTTATAAGAAGGAGTGGAAGGCAGCAATGGATGTGGAGAACGAGACGTTCATTCGCAACAACAGCTTTGACGATGTCGTTCCCCCTTCCGGTGTCAACATCGTCGGCGAAAAATGGATCTTCCGAGTCAAACAACTCCCAGGCGAAGCTCCACTATTCAAGGCACGATACGTGGCGAAGGGTTTCACCCAAAAGGAGTATCTCGACTTCTTCGAAACATTCTCGCCCACGGCCAAGCTCCCGACTATGCGCGCTCTTCTTGATATAGCCGCTCGCGGCAACTTCGAGATCAACTCCATGGACGCCTCCTCCGCCTTTCTCCAAGGCCAGCTCAAGGAGGATGTTCACATGGAATGCCCACCGGGGTTTCCTGGCACTTACCCTGCCAACACAGTGTGGAAGCTGAAGCGCCCAGTGTATGGCCTCAAGCAGGCTCCTCGTGAGTGGCACAACAAGGTGAAGGAAGTCCTCCTCGCACTTGACTTCCATCCCTCTGCCTCAGATTCCTGTCTCTTCGTTCGTCACTCCTCCGAGCCCTTCTACATCCTCGTCTACGTCGACGACTTCATTCTAGCCGCCAGAGATCCAGCCGACATGGCAGCTGTCCAGTCTGCTCTCAGCTCCGCCCTTCTCATGAAGGATCTTGGTGACCTCAAGAACTACATGGGGATGGAGATCACTCGTGACCGCCAGGCTTGCACGATCACCCTCTCCCAGGAGCCCTGCATCGACAACCTTCTCAAGCGGTTCGACATGGACTCCAGTAACTCTGTCTCCACTCCACTCCCACTACAGCATCAGCTCACGGCCCCTCCAGTTCCTTCTCCTGACGCCTGCAAGGACCCGTACCCTGAGCTAGTCGGTTCACTCATGTATGCCATGATGTGCACTTGACCAGACTTGGCTTACCCGGTTAGTGTCCTCTCTCGGTACGTCTCCCCCGGACGCTACAGTGCCTCGCATTGGTCTGCAGCCAAGAGGGTCCTCCGCTATCTACAAGCCACCAAGTCTCACATCCTCACTCTTGGTGGTACCTCTCCAGTCAAGCTCGAGGGATACACAGACTCCTCATGGGCCGATGACCAGACTGACAGACGCTCCTCCCAAGGGTACTGCTTCACCCTTGGTAGCGGAGTCATCAGCTGGCGCTCCACTCGGTCCTCTGCAGTCTCCCTGTCGTCCTGCGAGGCCGAGCTCTACGCGGGCACAATGGCTGCTCAAGAGGCACGCTGGCTCTCCTTTCTCCTTGCTGAGTTAGGCTACCCCCAGCAGTCGCCCACCCTGTGGTGTGACAACCAGAGTGCCATTCACCTCACCAAGGATCCTGTGTTCCACTCTCGCACCAAGCACATCGAACTTCCTCATTTCTTCATCCGAGATCTTGTTCAGAGTGACCAGCTGACGGTACGGTACATCGCCTCAGATTGCAACCTCGCCAACCTCTTTACCAAGGCTCTCGGCAAGGCTGACCACCATCGCCTTCTCCGTTCCATGGGGCTATGTTCTCCTTGATGGGGTTTGCAGTCTATGGGGGTGTGTTACAAATAGACTGCAAATACCACTTTTGTATTTGTACTTTTATATCCTAGTTTAGGTTATGAATGTTCTAGTGGGTTGGGGTGTACTCACAAATCCCAACCTCACCCAATTGTGATCCCCCCAATCTCCAATTACCCAATTGGAGATTCCGGAGATCCCAATGGGGATTCCCTCCAATTCCCCCTTCATCCATTCACTCTCACCTTGCCATGTACTTATAGAGCCTTGGGCTCCTTACCTAATCAATCATTTCAACTCTATTTCTTACACTTCCAACTTATGATACCATGCACGAGGCGCCTGCTTAAGGCCATAGATGGCCTTCTTCAGCCTGTAGACCCTGCCGCTCCCATCATCCAGCCCCTTTGGCTGCTCCATATACACCTCCTCCAGAATGATTCCATTCAGAAAGGCAGTCACACTGTCCATCTGCCGAATCTTCCATCCCACGAGTGCAACTATCGCCAACAGCACCCTCAGTGTGGTTCCTTTCCCCACAGGAGCAAACACCTCATCATAGTCCTTCCCCTTTGTCTGCTGAAACCCCCTTGCCACAAGCCTAGACTTGTAGCGGGTCAGCTCCCCTTCAGGTCCATACTTGTGCCTGTAGATCATCTTGGAAGTGATTGCCTTCTTCCCAGGAGGCAAGTCACATAGGTCCCATGTCTCATTCTCAATCAGGGACCCGAACTCCTCATCCTCACTTGCCTTCCATTTCTCCCCATTTGGTCCATTCAAGGCCTCTTCTCGAGTCTTGGGCTCAGAGATTGGTGCCCAGTAGCAGTGAGCGATCTCATCTTCCTCAATCTGCTCAACCACACTCCCAGCCTGCACCACATTCGGCTTGCCTCTTCCCCCATAGGTCAGCCTCACAGGAGGGCGCACATCCCTCCTAGGACGCTCAGGCGGGTGTGGAACTCGAGGTGGAGACTCATGCTGCTGCTGCTGCTCCACCTCAGCTCCTCCCCCTTCCTCAGTCACCCTAGACATCTCCTCCTCAGACACTGCAGCCTCCACCTGTCTTGAAGGCTGCTGCACCTCATCTGCCTCCACAATCAGTGGTGTAGATGGAAGCTTCTGTTGCTGCTGCTTCCATTCCTTGTAGTACAGGGATTCAAGGAACTTCACATCCCTTGACACAGTCAGCTTTTGGGTGGTCAAGTCCCATAGCAACCACCCCTTGTGATCCTTTGCAATCCCCAAGTGCACACCCCATCTTCCTGAAGCTTCCAACTTCCCCCTTTTCTCCTTAGGCACATGAAACACCACCATGCACCCAACAGAGGATACTGTGCAGCAACATACTCACACTTGACCTGCCGACTCTTCTATCTCTTTTTGTTGTGATTCAAACTCATGCCACTCATCCTCACACACCACCAATGAGGTTCCTCTGCCAATCACTTGGTGAGAAAATCAGCTAGATATTTGTGAGTCTTGATGTAGATGGGGTTCACCACACCTCGCTTTACTTCCTTACGCAACCAGTGCCATTTGATCCACATATGCTTGTTGAGGTCGTAGAGCACTGCAATCTTCGCTATGGCTAATGCCCCTCTGCCAAGTACATCAGGTGACCAAGTTTATCCTATCCAAAGGGAATAGACCCTTCAAGAAATAGAATCCCCCTGCGTATAGCCACGCAAGGCTATTGGCTTTAAGGGATTACGGTAGGATTACGCTAGATATAGCACGCCGGTACATCCCGAGCGTGGTCGGTGATATAATTATCATAACAGGATAAACCAAAGGATAATGAAATAGAAGAAATAGGAAACCAAATGAGATGAGAGAAGAAGAGGAATGAAATAGAAAGGAGATATGGAAAGGGAAATTGGTGTAACGGGGTTGTACTCTCACACTTTCTGTAGCATCCACTTGCCCTTCACTTGGGTTTTGAACAACCCTTGCAAGCTGCCCCATTGCAAAGGAGATATCTGGTCTTGTATGTACGCTAGCATAGAGTAAGCTACCCACCAGAGATAGGAAATGCTTCTGCTCCTCGTCATTCAACCCCTCATCTTCTGCCGCTTTCACCAGCTTAAACTCAAATGCAAGGGGAGTTGTTACATCCTTCCTGTCTCAAGCTTGTATTTCTATGGAAGTTGGGTGATGTACTTCTTTTGGTGCAACTTTAGCCATCGGTGGCTTTCATCCCTTTCAATGTGCATGCCAAGATTGCTAGCAGCTCCCAAGTCCTTGCACTGAAATGTTGCCATCAGCTTTTGCTGCACCTCTTGTATTTCCTTCAAGTTGCAGCCGAATAGGAGAATGTCACCGACATAGACTAGAAAGAGCACACACTCTCTTTCTCCCCTTTGAGAAAGAGGCTCTGAATTGCTTGCCCTGAAGCCCATCTCCTCCAAGGTACTTGACATCTTCTTATACCAGCACTGTGGTGCTTGCTTGAGGCCATAGATGGCCTTTGTATGCTTGCACACTCTCTTGGTTCCATGTTCATATCCTGGTGGCTGCTGCATGTACACCTCCTCTTCAATAATCCCGTTGAGAAACGCCGTTGCTACATACATTTGCATGATGTACCATCTGCACACGGCTCCATTTGCTAGCAGATTTCGGAAGGTTGGGTCCTCGACAGTGGGATCAAACACTTTGTTGTAGTCAAGCTTCTCCTTCTGTTGAAACCCCTTGGTCACCAATCGACTCTTGTAAACAGCAACATCTCCTTTGTCATTCGTCTTTATCCTCGCCAACCACTTGCATTGCAGTGCTTGCTTTCGATCCGGAAAATCAATCTTCTCCCAAGTCTCGTTTTTCAGTAGACGCATATACTCCTTGTTTCTAGAGGGAAGTCACTTCTCTCTGTCCGGTCCAACTAAGGCCTCATCCGTGTTTTCTGGTTGAATGATCAAGGGGGTGAGGAAGCAATATGCTCGCTCCCCCTTATCCTCCCATTTGCGCCCACTTCCAAGAACAAGCATAGCATCCCCTTCTGGTTGTTTTCCCAGCGTTTCTCCACGAGACCTCAGCTTCATTGTTGTTGCCCTCAAGTGTGTGGTCATGGAAGGAGCAGCTTCATGGCCTTTGGTTATACCCATCCTCTACGTTCGCTCAATTAGGGTTGGGGCCTTGACCCTTTGCATTGGGTGTAATTCGTCAGCTGCTTCTTGGGCCTCTGCTTCAGTCCCCGCTTCCTTAATAAATAGCGGCTCCTCTGCATCGACCCTGGCCATCTCGGAGGACGGGATGGGTTCAATGTCAGCTGGTTCTTCCATCTCAGGTTCAAAATCCCAAGAGATGCGCATTAGCTGTTATGCATTGTCCTCTTGCTACTACTTCTCCCAGCTTCCATACATCATTCCTTCGAGGAACTTGACGTCCCTGCTATCGAAGTACACCCCCTTAACTGGTTCCCACAACAACCATCCCTTGCTCCCGGCTGCAAGTCCAAGATGCACACACCTGGCCGTTGCCCCGAGTTGCTCCTTTGCTTCTTCGTGAAATGAGCAACTGCCGTGCACCCAGACACCTGCTGGCCTTGCTTTCGGACTCATGTTCCTTGCTCATCATCAACCTAAATCGAGATCTGCCCCGCCTCTTGCTCGAAGATGTGAAGCGCGGAATCTTACCAGAAGATTTCCGCCGTCACAAATAGGTGGATCCCGATGGTGCCGAAGTTGCAAGCATGGGCCGTAGGCGCGGTCGTGGAAGGGGCAGAGGGCGAGGTGGATTTGGCAGCATTAACATCAATAAAGACCGTGTTAATGGAGGATATGGCAGCAACAACAACAATAATGGCTACGGGTATGGGCGCGGTCGATTCGATGGCGGATGCCACTTTTGCCACAAGACCGGCCACATGTGGAGAGATTCCTTCAGATTGCCTGATGGATTGGATGGATCCCTTCTCAAGTCCAAGAGGGCAGAGGAGTAAGGGGAGGAAGAGGCAGAGGTTGTGGAGGCCGTGGTGGTTGTGGAAGTGAAGCAGCAAGCATGAAAGGTGGAGACTACAAGACGGACTCGAGTGAAGTTCGATACCCGGGCCAATTCTTCTTTGTCTTGACGAAAGCAGTCGTTGGAGCAGAAGGTGTGGAAGGCTTTGAGGAGCCAGCTACTGTGGAAAGGGTCACCCTTCTCTCTTTGGACTTTTGGGCGATCGATAGCGGGGCCACCTATAGCATGACACGTCGTGCGGACTTGCTCACCGAACTCGAACCGTCGCCGGTCAAGCATGTTACATCGGCTTAGGGACAGCGAGCAGAGATGAAAGGCATGGGCAAGGCCATGTTCAAGAGTGCTGATGGGAAGATGGTAGGCCTCAAGAACGTGCTTTGGGTGCCCAACCTTGCAGCCAACCTGATTTCCGTGTGGCGTTTGCAAAAGGCCGGCATGGACAAATCTTCCAAAGAATCCAAAACGTCTACCGCAAGGCTTGGTGAACGGAAGCTTTGGGACCTTCATCAGGACAGGTACTTCTAAAATGAGATGTGGCAAATCCCATTAGTCCCCATGCCTAAGGAGAGGTAAGTGGCAACAAGCGTCAAAACCAAGACTGAAGCGGTTGGTGGCGGTGATCACGGAAAGCCAAGTGACACCAAGAATGACTCGGAGGAGTGCAATCTTGGAGGGACCAGCAAGTCGTGTGAGCCCAAGGAGAGTGGTGCAGCAGCCAAGGATGGTGGAAATGAGGAGGATAAAGCTAAGATCAGCAAAGCAGCAGTGCCGAAGGAGAAAGGAGAGAGCTTGTGGGGCACAATTGCGAGTGCTGCTTTCTCCAACCCGACCTCCGCTACGGAAGAGTGGCATAGCTGAAACGGTGAAGACCGATTGGTTGCTGATGGTGGAGCAGCAACAAGACTGGCTTGTGAAGGCGATTTGCACTGACTATGGGGGAGAGTTCCTGAGCAAGGACTTCTCAACTTGGCTGAAGAATCATGGCATAAGGTACTCTCTTACCATGCCCTACTCTCCTGCAATGAACAGCATCGCTGAGCGTGCGAATCGGACACTCACGGCGATGGCTCGGGGACTTCTCATTGAAGCCGGTCTACCCAATTACTTTTGGCCGGATGTGGTGCGGCATGCATGTGTGGTAAAGAATAGAGCCTTGACTCATGTGGGAGAAGAAAAATGGGTGCCCTATGTGAAGTGGATTGGAAGGAAGCTAAAGGTGGAAATGCTTCGGTTGTTCGGGTGCATGTGTATGGCACTTGTGCCTAAGAAACTTTGGCACAACAACCTTGATGCCAAAGCAACATGGGTCGTGCACCTGGGCATGGCTCAAAGCAGCATGGGACCCATTTACCAAAAAGTTCTTGGTGAGCAGAGATTGCAAGTTGATGGAGAACTTACCATACAACGAGTGGAAGGCAGAGAACCAAACAAAGATTGGCCTGCGAGTTGGTGAGGTGAAGAGTACCGGCTTGGAGCATGTGGAGCTGCTCTTGGAGCTGAGTTGCAGCAGCACAATCACAAGGCAATCTCCTCAAATAAATGGGGGAGATGATGAGCCTGCACCGTCACTTCCGCCTCGTGCTACAAATGCTAGACGGAACCGATCAGATTTGCACCAACATCATGAGAGCATTCAAATCCCTGTAGCAGAGGAGGAAGGAAAGGGGGAAAAGGAAGACTCAGCCCCCCAATTATTTGAGCTATGATAGGCTTGGAAGACCAGCCAACTCAACCTTGACCAGTTCGGCTCTCATGCTAGGCGATGATGCGGAAGATGAAAGCGAGGAGTGCGCTTTTGCCTTCTTCTCTCCGGTGGAGATGCCAGGGGAGCATACAAATCCCAAGGAGGCTTTGGAGGGCCCCAATGGGAAGGAGTGGAAGAAGGCCTCAGATGAAGAAATGGGGAGCATCATAGAGAACGACACATTTGACTTGGCGAACCTACCTCCGGGGCGTATGGCGATCCCTTCCATGTGGCTCTTCAAGCATAAGACCGACACCGACGGCAGCATTGAGTGCTACAAGAGCAGAATTTTGGCCAAGGGGCACCAGCAGCAGGAGA